AACAGCTAATTTTCCATGCATGCATGAGCAACACACCTCATCCTTCCTTTTGGAGGTTAGGGTGAGATTTGTTCATAATACAGCTTTGGCTTAAAATGTACCATGCATGCACAAAACATGTTTTTCAAAGGCTTTTAAGCCGAGCAAATAAAAAGTGTTCACCACTGAAACAATCAAATTTCTCTGCTAAATTTTAAATTTCAGCCCACACCTGTTTCAATGTTAGAAGTGTCAAAAATCATCTCTCCCTTTTATATCACGAGATAAACATATTTGTTTCCTTTCTGTCACTTCAAAACAGCAACTTGATTTTTTCCTTGAACTTTGAGTTAACATCATATTTAGGCAATGTAAAAATATCAATCCAAGAATTAGATGGTTCAAACACTATGAAGAAGTTGAAAACCAGAAACCAAAAGACACTAGAAAAGTGTTGCCAACATCCCATATGCTGTATGGAGCAAGTATATTACACAGGAGAGTACAGCGGCAACTCAAGCCCTACAGAGCTGCTTTTCACTGGGCCATGCAGCCAGGCACACAACAGAAACCTTTAGTGCAGAGCATATACTCTCACCTTTAGTGAGAGCTATATAACATGACTGGTTGTGGTTGTATAGATTTCTTCCCTGTGAAGTAAGGACATCAGACAGTGATGTGCTGAGAAATACATGGATCTGCAATCTTTCCCAGGAACAGGACAGATGCCCTCTGCCTCTTCTCAGAAACCTGGGAGGAAGCTGTACACTGGCTCCAAGTCATTGCTGTTTTCAGTCTTGATGAAACCTTTTTCTCAGGTTTTCTTCTTCACATGGTGCAATGCAATATTGAAAGAGAACTGGAGCCTGCTGACATCACGCTGGGGGAACAAATTGACTCTGACTCTACAAGAGTCCTTTTAGGAGGGCATTGAGATAGAAGACAGTTTGAAATGCAAATTCCGGGCTGCACTCGCAGAACAGGGCATTAGAAAAGAATAATTTTGTAACTTGATTAAATATTATTCCATCTTGCTGTATTTGTGCTGTGAAAGGACCAGGCACACACCAAAGCTTAGGTTTACAAACTCTGTGAAACAGGTAAGTGAGGAAGCTTAGACAGGAGATAGAAATGTCAATATTCTGGTGGATCTGGGCCAAGCTTTGACAGTGTAAATACTGCACGAAGATGGCAGAAGACCCTTCCTCAAAGAGCGTGATGTCTAACAATGAAGAGTAGGTTACCGAGAAGTAACATACAGAACTTCTTATCCTACTGCATTTAAAACCTCACCATTCTACATGGAGGCTTAGCAGGCCTGCTCAAACTAGCCTACAATCCTTTTCTTATAGCATGTGTGCCTTCAGCAAGAGATTACCATCTCGTGAAACACGTGGGAGAGCAGTGCAAGAAAAACCCTGATACATTTCTAGCTCTGAACATTAAAGGGAAGTAGTTAGAGAAGGAGAGTTAGAGACTTATGATTTGCCACCTTTTAGTGGTTCAGTTTCACAGCTTTCAGGCAGCCTGCAGTCAATTTATGGGAGCTACAGAAGCACCAAAGCAGGAAAATGCAAAACTGAAGTGGTCTTCCTCAGCAGCATAACTGAGAAATAAGACAAGAGCCCAATCCCCTGCCCAACAGAGACCACACTGATCCAGGCAATGGAATTACAATACTTCTGGCTGCAGTGGAAGCAGGGCAAAGTTTGAAACTCTGCAAAGAGAATACAAGGCACCATCTGACTTATCTATGATGTGATCCAACATGCGCCTTCCTCAGAATGCTTTATCAGTTACTTGAAAGATTATTCAAGAAATTGGCCAGTGACAGTTGGCCTTTGGGGCTGCAAGGGAAGCACTAAATACTTTAACACCCTCTCGCACAGGATGAGAGGCTCAGGCCTGCCATAGTCTTAACCTTGAAGGTTGGAGAGTCAGAAGGAGAGCACAAAAGGCACCTTTGCTATTGCAATAAACCCAAAAAACTTCAGGGAAACAAAACCCAAACATTTTCTCTGTAGGCAAATTAAAAGTAGATCCACAGGTTGCCATGGATACAGAAGTCCATTTACTTTAGTAGTCCTTTCTAGCAGCTAAACACAAGTATAAGTGATTAAGGAGAAAACACAGCTATGTTTGTAATGTTCCATTAGGTTTATATTAGTTATTTCAACTGCAAAACACCCCTGGTGACCTTTTTCTTGACTTTTCAGAAAAACCCAGTGGGCTGATGAGACCATTTTTAGAACCACCTGTCCTTCCTCTGCCTCTCCACAGTCATTTGGGATCAAATGACTACTAGAATGGCAATTTTCACAATTCAGAACCATTCTTTGGAGTTATGGTAATCCAACTGGTGTTTGTATGCCTGGTCTGAGAGGAATACATGAACAGCTACATCTTAGATCATAAGGCAAACCAAAACCTTAGGCACACAACTCTAGGAGGAGCCTTTATAGTCCTGTTTCAGAAAACTGAAAGTTCCATCAACTCAAGGTGCACATGCATGTACTCCATCTTTATCATGTTGGATTGGTAAATGCAACTGTCAGTCCTCCCTGAGCTCTTGTGTCCAGCATTCTCTTCAAAAAGGAAAGCTCAAGTTCTGACATCTGGCATGCTGCTAGGAGGGAAGGTCCTGGCAGTATTCCTCATCCAGCTGTGATGGGAGCCTGTTTTGAGAGTGAAGCATGGCGTGAGTTGGGAGAAATTGTCTTTGCTGCAACCAGCAGCTAGAGAAGGCTGGATGGGTTTCTTCAGCCTCTGGACTGTTTCCACTAATACTTTTACTGGGAGCCCATTCTGATAAACCTCTTACTAACATCCTGGACTTCAGAGCAGTCCTTCCCTCTGTCATGTTTTACTGAAAAACAGCAAACTTAAAGACATTTGAGTGTCCATTTACAATTTCATGGAATCTGGATGAGGTGATTTCTACATCACCTGGATGGACACTTCCATCCATCCACAAATCTAAAGTTTATTTCAATGTCTCTAGTATAAAGAACCTGTTGACACCTTTAAACTGGATTTTTTCCATCTTAAAAACATGTGTGAAAGGTCATCACAGGGAATCACTATCTTTTGTTTCAGGGGAACTGCATATAAACCAGAGGGCATTTGTGAAGAGTAATCTGGTTTTCTACATGCCAACCCAGGAAACCAGATTATGAGGTTCAAGCTGGCTGCTTATCATTAACAGCAATGAAAATTCTGCAAGAGATATGGTGGCATGGATTAAAAGGATAGTTTTGCCTACAAAGGTATGATTTCTGATGAGCAGTGAGATGAAACAAACCTAATGTGACACCCGAGTTACAGGCTAAGTTGGCAGAGCTCGCAGTAAAAAGTAATTAAAAATCCATTTGTATATAAACTTAGTATTTTTTTAAAATACTCAATAAGACACTTCTGTGTCTACTTTTCAAAGTAGAAGTATAGCTTAAATCTCACCCCTGAAAATATACTGGGCTTTCCTGTTTGCTAAAGGATGCACAGGAGATGGATTCTTTTCTCTGGATTTGGCCGTGTGCCCTACATAGAACTTGAAAGTTTTAATGAAGTTATTGCAATTTAAAAATATCTGAATAGAACATAAGATTGGTCTTTTAAATACCTACACAGTCCAGCTTTCTTCATATTCCAGGTTGTGCTAGAGTCCTTGAGAATCATCAGAAGGACACTGATCTCGTTAAAGACAGAAACATTTGGTATTACAAAATTTGTAAAATCTGTAGCAATAACAGATCTTCAGATCAACCTACACTGAAAGTTTGCATCAAAAAATGTAAGTACTATTCCTCCCCCACTTGCATACAACCAATCCACAGGATCCGATTACTGTTTATTTTGAAAGTGCTGCTGTGAAAGGATAGGCTCAATAGCTGCTGTTGCTGCTGATGAGAATGGAAGCAGGGACTGTCTTCTTAATGAGTGTTTGTACAGTAACCAGCACAGTGGGATTCCAATAGTAATAATAATAAACCTTGATCGGAGATTTCAAACATTCCTGTAACATCAGACAGACTGTTCTGACTGCTGCACAACCAGTGGCTCCAGCTGTATGAAATCCTCCCATTACTCTGGGGATTCTTCTGAATCATGTTTAACTAACCCAGTAAGGGTATAGGTATTTTCACTTCCCTCCTTTTTCTTGTGCCACCACAGTGCTTTTAAATCAGTGGCTATTTGGGAAGAATGATTACTTCACACTATACTTACCTCAGAAGCCAAACCTCACAATGCAGGGGCTCAGCCCCACAACCTACAGTGCGCTCCAGAGCTGATTCCAGCAGTGGCCAGGAGCACCCATGTCACCCCAGGCCCATGCAAAGCCTGCCTGGAGCGTGAGCCAGGTGGCAGGCCCAGCAGCCAAGGTGCCTCACAGCCTTGTGCTCCAGCACCTTCTCTGCTTTGCTTCAAGGGACTTCCCAGTGCTGGAGCTCTGTGCCCTATTTTGGGGCAGCAACGTCAGGGGCCCGACTGTCACGGGTCAACCTTGCCAGCCATTATGAGCTGGTGAGGCTCCAGCCACGCTGTCAAGCCCCCGACCCACCCAGGTCCTACCTCAGCGCCTCTCTCGTCCCTGCGGGAGGCCCCCGCTGGTAGCCCCTTTCCCGCGGGAGTCCTTCACCGCGCTCCCCGCACATCGGGCGCTACTCACTGGCCCGCCGGCAGCGAGACGAGCGCTCCGGGCGCTGCCCTGTCCGGCTCCAGCACCACAAGCGAGGGGACAGCTCCGGACGGGGCCGCAGCCGTGGCCGGAGACGGAGCCAAGGCAAGGGTCCGGAGCAAGGGACAAGAACTCTGGTCAAGGGGCCCGGGCAAAGGGCAAGGACCCGGGGAAGGGGCAAGGACCCGGGGCCAGTCGCGGCGCAGCGGCTCCCCTTCCGGCGGCATCGCGCAGAGGCGGCCTCGCGACAGCCGGCGCTGTGGTTTTAAATGGGCGGAGCGGCGGCGGGCGGCAGGGCGGGCGGTGGGCGGTCGGCGCTGGCCCGCGGCGCCCATATAACCCCACCTCCCGGGCGCGGACTGCCGCGGTAATTGGCTGGATGTGGTACTTGGAGATGTTGAGCTGGCTCCTTCCCCCCATGTCCCTGCACACACACAGGGGCGGGTGGTGCGGGCGGGAGCGGGAGGCAGGGCTCAGCCCCGACGGTGGTGGGGCGCCCCCCACTCCCTGCCTGCCGACCGCCGTGTCCGAGCCGCTTCTGCTGCTGGGCTGCTGCCTGCGACCGCAGGACCCCGCCGAGCCGGGCCAAGGGGAGCGCGGGCGGCTGCTGGCGGCGGCCGAGATGATGGCGGAGGGCGGCGGCGGGCCGGCGCGGAGGAAGGCGCTGTCGCTGTTGGAGGCGGCCCGTTCCCGCTATGAGAGCCTGCAGATCTCCGACGACGTCTTCGGGGAGTCAGGCCAGGACAGCAGCGGGAACCCCTTCTACAGTACCTCGGCCGACTCCCGCTCCGCCGCCTCCTCCCAGGACGAGGACGACGACGAGGAGGACGAGGGGCGCCCGGAGGGGCTGAGCCCGCGGGGCAGGGCGGCCCGGCGCCGAGCGCCCCGGGCCGTGGCCACCCCGGCGGAGCGGCGGCGGCAGCGGCAGGGCGGCGGCTGTAGCAGCACTGTCCCGGGCGGCCCCGGCCCGATGGAGGAGGAGGAGGAGGAAGCGGAGAAGGGGGGCTGGACCCGGTCGCTGCGAGACGTCCCACCCCCTCACTTCAAGGATGGCAGCGGTACGCGGGGGGCGGGCTGCCGGGGAACGGGCGTCGGGCCTGGGCGGCTCTAGGGAGCGGGGATGCCCGCGGGGGGTGCCCGGAGCGCGGCGCCAGGCAGGGAAGCCCCTGCGGGCCCGGCTGTTGGCCTAGGCTGGTGCTCGGCCTTGGGGCGGGGGGGCAGGCAGGTGCCTCCCGCCCGGTGCTTCCCGGGAGCGGCCTTACTGTCAGAGCGCTGGTGCGCGGAGAGCCTTGCCGAGGCGGTGCGCGGGAGGGCAAGGGGAGGCCGCGTGTGCTTAGTCACAGGCACCCTGGCGCCGTAGAGATGCCCCGAGCGCCAGCAGCGATCGGATCCCCGCGGGATTCGGGCAGGCTCCCCCCGGAGCGCAGGTCCCCAGCTCGGCCGTGGTCTGGGGTAGCCGGTGGCGCCTCTTACCCCCCTTACAGGTGGGGAAAGCCGCTGGTGTGTTGTGTGGGTGACCTGAGCTGCCCTGCGGTGTGCAGAAGGGCTCTGGGAATGGAGCTGGGGTTCCCTCTGGCTGCAAGGCTTTCTGTGCAGCCGTCCTTAACCTTAACCCTTCTTGTGTGCGTTTTGTCCGGAGTGAATACCAGGATAGTGGTGAAATGACATGACGTGACCTACAGCAGCAGTGCACAGCACTGAGATCTCCTTGGACTGCCTTGTGTGCCAAGTTGCACCACTGGCTTGCCTAGAGATCCTTTATAACCTATCTGTCTGCAGGCCTCAGTATCCAAGTCAACTGTGTAGCAGCAAGGCTTGGCAAAAAGCGATTAATAGTTATGAAGAGCTGGGATGTGAAATAAAACATTTGGACCACAGAACAGGATGTGATGATTGCTGTCATCGTCAACTGAGCTGATAGTTTGCCTGTCCTAAGGTCACCTGTCATCATTGTTTTTTTCCATAGCGTTTAATTCCCTCACTTTGCTACTAAAAGGTAAATGCAGAACAGTGCTGCTACACTTGGAGTGGTGTGCTGAAATTCGTGCAATAGGACAAACCTATCTGAGGAAGCAGCTTGGGATGAGGGAGTAAGGTGGAGCTAGCACTGGAGGCCAGAGAAAGTTCTGTCATGCTTCTGACAAATAGAAGTTACATCTACCTGTAGAAACAGCTAGAGCCTGTAAAATGTTTAAATATAAAGCTGATGTGCCTTCTTAAAGAACTCCCAAGTTTTTTTGATGATAGTTATTCATAAGCATATCTGAGATCATGAGCTGTAGGCTTAATGGTGTGATACTGTTTCAGCATCAATTATCACTTAATTTCTCTGCCTTTGCTGGCTTATTATTTCATGCAGTTACTTTATAGTAATATCCATTTTAACATAGGCAGACCTGGGACTAGGATCTGGTTTGGAAAAAAAATTAAGTTGATGACCTATTAATTCAAGAATTCATATTTCCTTTGAAATAAAGAAGTCTGATTTATGGTTGTCAGAAATAGATGCAGACGTCTCTTGAGGAACGTATATGGATATTGCTGTGAATGTTTCTTCCTAGTAATAGACAGAGAAGAGGTTGCTGCTGCCCTTTCATTCTGTCAATGATGATAGATGCTGCATGCTGTGATTTGATTTGATGGAAGTTTGGTTAGTGTCATTATTTGATACGTGTGAAATGTGTACCTGCTGTATATTTTGACTACTGAAATTCCAAGCAATGGAAACTACTGCATTGTATATAACTAAGCTGTTATAATACTGGTTTTGATTGACCAGTTTTAGACCATACATATGTCGTAATTGGAGTCATGCTAGGCATACTTGTGCTGGCACCACTGTTGCTTCACTGGACGCTGCTCTGACCCAGGAGTTTGGATCCATACCTGCTGAGGAAAAGGTGTCTGCTGAGGTGAAGACAGCTGTCCCTTGCAGTGACAGCACATCTTTTAGTCACTGATGGAGTACAAAGAAGAAATGCAGGATCAGACACAGAGCACTACAAAACTGTGTTCTTGGTTCAAATGTGTTAGATATAAGAATCCTTTATTTCTAGGCTCTGAGCTTAAAGGAAGAGGTTTTCATGAGACTGGGATAAAGCTTATCTTTGGTTAGCACCAAAACTTCAGAGGGAGAAGAATTATAGTGGCAAGTACTTGACATCATCTGATGCTAGAAGACAAATGTCCTTGTGAACTGAAGTTCCATGGGACTTCAGCTATGTCAGTGCTGGAAATAAATCCTTGAATTAAACTAGGATCAAGCTTGGTGTCAAGCTTTTGGGTTTGGGAGACTGCCCCTTCATGAAAGGGAAGGCGCGTAGAACGAAGAGGTGCAGGTTAGTTAATGAGAATGAGCTAAAACTCCTAAGGGAAAGAAAAAAAATTGAAGAGCCACTTATGAAACTCTTGTGGCCTTTTAAACTACAAGTAGAAAGTTCTATTCCTTCTTTTTTTTTTTCTTGTAAGTTACTTAATACTGTCATTCCCTCCCATGATATTAAATTGATGTCTTGAAAAGTATTGTAGCCATTCCTAGAATTAGTCTTGAGCACAGGCAGGCTAACTGGTACTTCATTTCAAAAAATATAGTAGAATCCCAGGAGTGCTGGGTATTGCTGGCAGCATTAGATGGTTCAGTATGTCCTCAATCTGAAGTTAGTCACTGCATGTGTTCCTGGTGACACCTGCCTTGGCTGTGTAGCAGGTTCTGATAAACTGGGAAAGGCCCAGAGTAACTTCTGTTTCAGGAGAGGAGCGACTGGATGTTTTTGCTACGCAACACTACTGTGTGTCTGTAATTTTTGTTTTCTGCCTCTTCCTTAGGATTTCCAATACTGTCATTCCTGTTCCATTTAATGAAAATAGTGGGTGCTTAAACTCCCTGGGGAATGGGGACAATGGGATGAGACACAACATGAATAGGTTTAGCTGACTTCCTTTGTGGAAATCCAAAATAGCTGTTAACTTTAACACAGAGTTTGGAACAGATGGCTTGCTGGCACTGTGTGTTACTTCCAGTTGAGCTACTCTGTGAAATTATTCTTTTTAGTTGCTGAGAAAAATCCAAACCATATTGTGATGCCCTGATTTTTAAGCTATAACTAGTGGCACTGTGTAGTTCTGGTTAAAAAAGGTTGAAGAAACAAGTACCTGTTACAAATATGAAAGCAGCAATGCACATTTTGAGGTACTGGGGTATGAATAGTGGATAGGAGGTCTTGGAGACGGTTACTGAAATGCTTTCCCTTCACAAAGAGTGCCTGGCTAAAACAGGTCTGTGGGTAGGTCAGCATGTATTGAAAAAGATTATAGCGTTTATGATCAAATGTTAGATCCAGGCATGTTTTGGCATCTACCTTCTCATTCTCTCCCTGTGAAGGGGAAGCAGAATTGATTTGATGGGAAGGGAATCTACATATAGGTAGGCTTCTAGGAAAGGTCTGACCTCTGTCCAAACAGTACTTTAATTGTAAAAGGAGGGATAGCTGGAACTCCTCTGGCTTCCCTTCATCCAAGGGCAGGACAGAGGTAGTTGTGGAAGTGCAGAAAGAATAGGAGAACAAACTGCTGCTAGAAGGAAAGCATAATCGAAATAGAGCAACTATTACCACTTTTAGTGGCAAACTAGTAAGTGCCAGTGCCGTGCTCTTCCTTCCTTCATGAGTGGGGTGGATCTGAGTGATATGTTCCCTTGTTAGCTCAGTAATCTGGCCAGGAAATGTTCTGTAATAGATGAAGGTGCCTTCAGTTGTGGTTGTTCCTTATGCAGGGTCTTAGAAGGTACAAATATCCTGGTATTGCTGTAGTTTCATGTTCCTGAATTGGGGTAGCTGGTGTTCCCTTCCTGGGTCCAATACTTCCTATATCAATACAGTTCAGTGACCAGAAAGTTGGACCTCAAGTGTAAGAGCACTTCTTATTAAGGATAATATTTTAGGGTGGCAGCAATAATGGTGCTCTGAGCAAAAGTTAGTGCTGAAGTCCTCAAAGTTACAGCCAATCAGTGCTATTGTTTTCTTCATTTTCTATGCCATCTGAATCCTGTTCTTGAGTCTCGACCTGAAGACAAAATGGTAAGACTGAAAGAGTGTAGCAACTGATCTTCAACTTGCATTTGGAGAGTGTAGCTAGCTTTTTATGGATTTCCAGAGTACTTCTCTAAAACACTGTTTGTCCTAAGTTACCATCTTTGAAGAAGATGCTCTCAAGGAGAAGTTGCATAGGCCATGTCTAGCAACCAGGCTCTCCTTGTCACCTTGAAGAGGCTTAAATGAATATATAAAGTAGTTTTTATTTTTTTAATTTATTTTGGTTTTTTTTTAGAGGGAATGTTAATTTCCAGAAAGAATAAATGGCTGTTTCCCATATCCTGCTCTATCACGGCTGCCACAGGAGAGATGGTCTTCTGCACAAGTGAGGGTATGCAGTCTGACAGTTGAAATCAACCTGCATGTTCCAGCTAAAGTCAGGGAAGCAAGGCACATTAAATGCTAGGTTGTGACTACCATCGCAGTAGAAAGGGTTTTTTTTGTGTTTAATCACAAATGTCTGTTTGCATGTCAGCTGATAAGACATCACTCTTGATTATATTTTTCAGTTGTGTTGTTATTTTATGAATGCTAAATAAGCAAAATGAGTTTAGTTCCTCCAAGTTAGTCACCAGTGAATCATATGGTACAATGCATATTGATATAGCATGGAGTTGTTAATTTTACCTGTGTTTCAGTACTTTTACTAGAGGTAAACAATTCAATTAAAGTTAAAGAATCAAAGGAGAAGAAGTGGTACAGGTAAGGGGAGAAAAACTTTTAGCTGTTACCTGCATGGCTATAATTGTAACTGGTCAGAGAGTTGTGGCAAGTCTTAGCAGGATGCAGTGGGAGATCCAGTATGTGTGTGTTCTCTCCAGGAGTATGGACAGGTGGATGGGAAGGTGGCATTCCAGCAGCAAGGAGCCTGGAGGCAAAGCTCTTGGATCAGGCTGGGCCATAAAAGAGGCCATATACATATCACCATCTGACAGTACTGATGATCTTGGCTCAATGGAATCTGCAGG